TTGAGCAATCATTCATGCGGATGAGTCGTCCGAGGACTTTCTCCAACTTCATTTGTCTCCCTCACTTACGCCGTTAATAATCCCACATCCAACCAACAGACCTCCCAGCCACACACCAAATGGCCAAAATTTGAAAGAATATGTTTTGCTTAATCCTACAAAAAACTAACTGACGCAGCTCCATTGTTTATTTTTTTGCTGATGCAAATACCATAATTTCACTTGAAGCTTAATACCCAAACTAAATTTTTTGAGGAAGAGTGCCATAAAAAAGAGGGGGAGACATAACATAATTTGATGCAATCCGTCATACAACTCGCCGCAGTGATGCTCGCGACGATAGAAGAAGGGGTTGGCAAATTAGAAATATTAGAATGCAAACAAAACTAGAAATGTAAAACGAAATCGTGTTGCTCTGTGCGGGCGAGCGTATAGCATTCGGACAAAACTGGTGCTGGAGTGGTGTGGCGGTTAGACCAGCCAGCTTCCATTTCCATTTAGCCAATTAATTTATGGATATTTCCACTCAAACAAAGTCCATCCAGAAGCGTTTTGATTCTTCCATTTCATTCCGTCGGATTTCAACCGGAATTGGGAGCAGGAGAGCAGAGAGAGAGATTAGGCTTATGCGCCAATGTTATTGCTACATTCTTCCTGTCTCATTTTAAATGTGTGGCAGAGTAGTTCCGTAACCAGTCAGCCTTTACGTACTCCCATCTTTTTACCCATCGTCATCTTTTAGCCGATGAGATTTATTCTGCTGATTTGAAGTGAATTTTTCAAGTAAAGTATGTTAGAGTTAAATAGGATTAAATGCATGCAAACCAAATATGTACGTATAATACTAATGTGATGTTTTAAGACATTCATGTGTTTCCTGAACTTCAGGGTATGAATGATCTTCTTGAAATGTATTACTACTACTACTGTATTATTACTATTTGTATTTGTTTTTGAGGAGAGATTTTGTGCAAACCAAGTTCAGTTGATCATTCATCGTTCAATTCAATAAAATATGTGTAAATCTATGCATAGTTCTTGACCTATCTTGATTTCACATGTAATTCTAAACCATTGGTAAACTGCACTGTTCAAAATATTGTAGAGTCACATATTTATGTATATACCCCGTTCTGGTATTGATGTGGTAATAACTTCCTAAATGCCAGTTTTCTAAGAGTGTATGCACACACGTAGACATGGACAAACAACAGAAATAATATATTGTTCCACGTGACGTATAAGTGACAGTTATTTATTTGTTTCCATTTCCTCCACTTCTTTTTTACCCACCGACTCCTTAATAAGTGAGACGATGAGCGGATGTACGCATAATTTGCAAAGAATTGGGTTTATCAAGGGTAAACTTCCTGATGAAATGTAGTCCGTAACGTTTCTTCCCAGAAGCGGGCAAAATTACAAACGTACTTTCTCCTCTCCATTCTAAACAGGGATAATTTTATACAAGGTTCGAGAAGCGCGGAACTAAATATAACAATCGCTTTCCTGCTTCCTTCTTCATCGGGATGCCATTCACGTAGCTCTTTTGCCTTCAAGGAGAGAAACAAAGAACAAAAGCGGAAGCAAAAACCAATACTCTGCTGCTGCTCCCACTTTTACCCTTCCATCCATCGTGCATAAACTTGAACCAGAAACCTACTTCATTCAGGGCTCATTTGTCACTGGAAAAAGTATTATGTGTTCCATTACGGGGACAAATTAAAGAAAAACAAGGTTTCTTTTCCTCCTCCTCATCCTTCCAACTCTACCAAATGTCTCTCAACCCTTCCGTTTTTACGTCAATCTCTCTTCGTCGTCCCCCATTTTCCAAAAGGATCCGCACAATTTGAGCTGGCCGGAGCAAAAACCAAGCAAGCAAACGAAAGAAAGATGATGGTGATTGCTTTCTCTTTTCTTCTTTCTTGCCCAATTTTTTCCACTGCTTCGACGACGACGATGTATAACTCGCCATGTTTCAAATCTTAAATGTTCACTTCACCGCCGTATGTATATTTCTGCAGAGGGAAATGTTGCAAGGTTGATGGATTGATGAATATGGTGTGCTTGCACACTTAAAGGCCACATTAACTTAACTCTGGTAAAATCGATGCCATACCGTCACGACTGCTTCTCCATCCTTCTAAATCATGTGGATGTAATATGTAATGTAGAAAAAAGTTGGGGGATGATGATGGCTACAGGGAAATCACCATATTTTGAATGGCAGGCAGGAGGAGGAGAAGAGTGAAAGCTGCATTTTGCCAGTGATGGGTTCCTTGGTTAGGCAAGAAAAAAAGTAGGAAGGAGGGAGAGAGGAATGGCTTCAAAATTGAATGTGGATTGCTCACAATCGGTTTTCCGTTCTTTGCTATTTTTCAATTCATTCAATTGAAACAGCGACATGCTCGACATTCTTCTACATTTTTTTGCAAAAACCTTAGTGGCCCAATTCTACCAAGAATGGCGGCAATGGAAGAATGAAGTGGAATATTGTGTTGTTAGTCCGAGTCATGAACACCATTTATTTATGGAGCAAACACCACGAGCACCTCCATATTTTAAACAACTTACACCCAAACTTGTAATCATTTAGGGGAAGAAGTGGGTGGAAAGCTCCCATTTTGAAGTCCATTAGAGAAGGGAAATAAACAATAAACATTGTCATAAAGTCAGGCCCATTGGATTAAACTATTACGAGGCAACATTTAGCAGGGTGCCAGAAGAATGGGAATAACAGAAGGTTTCCAATAAATAGAAATTGTTCCATCCTACACGGAAATAAAAGTAAAATTGGTTTCCTATTCTGATCCTCGAGAGTTAAGTTTCAATCGGTATATTTTTTTCTTCAAAGGGGGGAAAATATTACGTCTTATCTTTTTGTACCCTTATCTGGGACAAGATGAGATTCGAGATAATGTTGGATTTTGTTTGGTCTGGTAGAGACACTTAATGCAACTGAAGTAGCGCAGTGGTAGTTCTCGCAGCAGCCTAGCTAGAGTTGGGGTGGTGGAAGTGACGAATGGACCGGAAATAGAAAGAAAGTTGTTTGCCATCGTCTCGTATCCTTCTTCTTCGAGTTGAGCGTTCTTGTGGAAAAGTGGTTGTTGGTTCATCGGTTGGTTATTGGTAGCCTCGCAGAAGGACAGTAGCAGCAGCAGCAGCAGCTCTCTTTTTTCTTTGTGATTGGAAATGAAACTGCTGTCAAATCAAATGACATCAAATGAAACGAAGAAACTCATCGAGGAATGGAGAGAGATGGCCTCACAGGGAGAAAGGGAGACGTACGACCAAGACGAAGAAAAGGCGGAGGAGCACAAAGAAGAAAGAATAAAAGAAGAAAGTAATGCTGATATCCTCGAGGAGTAAACCTTTCCAAGAATTGACCAGCAACCAAATACCACCAACTTCCTCGCGAAAAAAAGTTTGCAAAAAATTCTTCCCAAAAATTTGAATGAGGCTGCCGAGTAAATTACATTCTTTGTAAAATTGAATAAAACAATTTGGAGCTGGGGAGATAGGAGGAAGGCGAGGAAGGAGTGTGTGGTATAACTAATAGCCCTGTATGTATGGGTGTATCCTCTCCCTCTCCTAATCCCATTGTGCCTGGGCTGTTTGCAAATATGGAGAAAGTGCATGGTTGTTGTGGTCTGGTGGGCGCGTAGGGACGCCTACTTGCATAGATAGATACATCCTTTCCTTAGGAGGGATGCAGGAATAGGGGGAGAAAAAAAATCGGTATGGGTACTCAATATCCCTTCACGAGGAAAGAGTGTAAATACTCAGCAGCACTGCGATGTAGTGGTCCTCCAGCCATGTACATATGTACAGAAGAGAGAGTTGGTTCGTTGCAGTTTCAGTCCCAGCCCTACTTTCTCATTCTGCTCCACACCGTTTCGTGTTTTTGGTTGGGTTAGCTGATGTGCGAGGAATGTGAAGTGAAAGTATGCAGCAAGCAGAACGAATGATGGCTGAGGAGTAGTTTGACTTTACTTAGCACTCCAGTATGGGTTTCGTTTTGGGAAAAATAATTACAATTTCTGCATCAAGTAATAATTTCCGTCCCCATTTGTTCAGCTGTCACATTAGTGGGCTCCTCCCATCACGTGGTGGGAGAGCACCTTAAGTACTTCTTCTTACGTCATAAATACAAATACTCGATGGAAAGTTGAGGGGCTCAGAGGCGAAGATGCACGAGACACACACCAATCCAACCAAGTCGGTTTAATACAATTGACGAGGAAAGGAGGAGGTGAAGTCCCCAGCAGCTTTTTTTCCTACTTTTCTCCTTCCTCCATTTTGGACGGATTCCCAACCATTTTTTACGCTGGAGGATCTCACCCAACATAATGGGACTTTTGTGTATATACATATCCAATGGATGTGGGCAAAGCAAACAGCAAAACCTCGTCCATTTCTTCTTCCTTCCTTCTTATGTAATCCCAATCTCATTGAATAATATGGAATGAGGGAACAAAAGGGAAATTTCTCGGTTGCAATAAGAAGAAGACCAGGCTTTCGGCAGGGTTATAGTTCTCGGACCCGGAGAGGAAATGCCGAGACATTTAGCACGGCGGAAGTTCGACACGAGTCCTCTTTCTTTATTATAAGCTCCCTTCTCCTCGTCCTCCTCCTATCCGTGTCATTCAAGAGTTGTTGTATCATTGCCGTATCGTGAAAATAAATGAAGACAATCGAGAAATCCAGGATAAATCAACAACTACTCGGCGGCGGGATGCCCTCCTCTTCTTCTGACTCAGTTGCTCACTTCGACAGCGAGCAACAATAAAATAATATTACTTTTGAGGACAACTATTTCACCAGACTGGAAATTCTATTTATAGATAATATTGCGCGACATTATATGAAATTGGGATCGCTGTCCCAATTTTATTTTCATCATCGTCACGACTTGCAGCCTGTTAATTGCCTTGCTTCGTTTCAATCTCAAATTTGAACTCACGATTACTTTGACGAGGTCAAAATTATTTTCGTTCACTTACCATTGACGTTGAGAGTGTAGTGTAGAATTCTGGGCGGATGGGTGGAGATTTGACACTGAAATTATTTTAGGAAATACCATGGATAATTTACGCATATGCATACGTCGCTATTTTACACTTATACATAAACAGTTCTTACCTGATAGTTGCCCCCATCGGAGCGTTGAACACTGTAAAACCAGTCTCAAGATTTATATAAAATATTATTACACGTGAAAAAAATGAGCCGCCTGACCTGCTCAGTCTTAGCTGCCAATCGTTGGGCTTCACAAAATGAGAACTCTGACGGGCTTCGGAGCGATACGTCGTCTCACCGTAGGTCAACAGTTGTATGTTCCCAGTTGGGTCTTTCTTCACCCAAGAAACCTGGTGGACATGAAAAAAACCAAACATTTTTTAGATACGTAGCAAAAAAACTAGGCTAAGACTCATCCCTGTCGTTCCGTCCCAATGAAAAAGGCAATCTCTTCCACAACCAGGAAATTTATCTGCTCATCCCGACCGTTAGTGGGTTAGTTAGCCGACATTACATTAAGTTACGTAATGTACTCGTAGTCCTACTACCCTCTGCAATCTGAACTATCTCAATTTCATTAATGACTCTCTGAATTCCCATAATTCTCTGGGGGTCGTCTCAAGTGCTTATGTAACGGCTGTGTATTCGTATTAACCAGGAATGGTACATAGCTTGTTTTTGGAAGCACCGTGCCTCCTCAATTTTTGAATATGCATACGTCCTTGGATAGCGTAGTTGTTTTATGTAAGAACTCATTCCATCATGAATCCTACTGAAATTAGATTTCCATTTTCTTAATGTATTGTTTAATAATTTGTAATGTATAAAAACGTATATAGGGTGTTTAAAATTCCTACACGTCCTACACTGAAATCGAGGTCTATTGACCTTGTCTACCCCAAAGTATAGACACACACACAGCAGCTTATATATAAACTTGTCCGTATTTTTGGCGATGACCCTGTTCCTCTACTTCGAAATGACGACGATATTAAACTCCCAGTCTAAATATGTATTCAGTCTTTTCCAGTATCTCGAGGGATGCTTCTCCACGATGATGGCCACGATGAGAGTTGATAGCACAGTGCTGAGTGTAATAAACTGTTTTCCCCCTGCAGAAACATAGTCAGTCAGCATCCTCCCGCCTCGGGAAGGCCATTAACATCAAATTGTATTTTAAAATGGGATTTATTGCACCTCTGAACCCAAGATTGGGTGCATCCTGTATTGTGTCCTCCAGTCTACGGGGAGCTGGGGACTCGATCACACAATGAGAATGAAATAGGTAGATAAAAACAGTACTCGACAACCAACAAGAGCAGCACCAGCAAAATACACGTATTGATCGAGAAAACGCCCTGGGAGGAAATATTTTATTTCATTATCCTCCTCGCTCGCACTAGTATCGAAATCAAGGTTCATACAAAATGATGCTGCTTTCTGCTGCTGGCAGTTAGTTACGTATTTATATAAACACACGATGACGAACGCCGCCGTCCTGCCATTAACTTGGCTTGTTTATCCTTGATAAAGCGAGTTCCTTCCTCTCATCACAAGTGGCAAGTTCAGAAATCAGAAATGTAATATCAACTCTTATCAAAACCAAATCGCTAAATCAAAGCCATCACGTTTGATTTTCTTCCTGGATTTTAAAGATAATATAATAAAAGTGAAAGTGGAGAAAGGAGACAATTATGTAAAAAAAAAGTTATAGTTGAATACTTTTATTTCACTAATTATGTAGCGCCTTCTTAGAACATAAATTTTTGTCTCATGTTTTTTACCCCATTTACCAAAGTTCTAACACAACCAGAAAATGATCACAGGTTTACATGTACGATCACCCACAATACAAAGTCATGCCATAAACTCGTATGTCTACACAGAGAGAAAACAAGGGTTGATTGTTGTTAAAAAAGATAAAGCATGCTTTTCGCCTATTCAGTTCACGCTGTCTTTATAACGCAATAAATCAAATCATGATAAATCAGCAATAAATAAATAAACGATTCATTTCATTTGTTTACTACTGTGACAGAGAGACTGAAGCAAAACAAAAGTGTGTGTTCTCCTCGTAGCACAAACTCATCGCCCCTTTGACTCACTTTGTCGTCCTCTTTCTCGTCAAATGGTAAACTACGTAAAGAGGCTGCAATAAATGTTTTGTAACATTTCAGGAAGTATAAACCTGCTGAGTGCACGCAGTATAAATTTCTTATCGACACCACCTTCCAGAATTTACAACTAGAGTGCTTTAACCTCCACAGATTTACATCTTTGTTACATAATTGACGTTACAGAGAGGACTCAATCCTCACTCAATTCTGTCTGATTCGCTCTCTCTCCTCCAGATTAAATAAATTCTTAGTCACTCCTTCTCTCCACCCACAAGTCATCACGCGATAATGTCGAATGAAAGAAAGCAGGATTTTTTTATTCTTCGCTGATGTGATTTAATTTTCTCGTCTTACTCTTCGCATCGCATGAATAATTCTTTGAGATAAAATGGAGCACCTCGTAAGTGCAATGAATGAGCGAGTAGTTCTTCTCCTCTGAGGTTGGTGACTGTTTGTACGTACTTGGGACGACGAGGAGGAGGAGGAGGAGATCCGCTGGGTTTATCCTCTGTCACAGGAAACCGGGATGGGTGGGAAGTGAAATGAATGAATTGTTCAATTCGTTCGTTCCTTACTGCTCGGCTGGCTGGCTGGCTGGCTGGTTGGTTGGGTGGATGTTGAGACTTCATAAATTATTTGTTTTGTGTCACGTCTAAACTTGTAAACGGATTTGTATCGGTTTTCTTACTAAGCTCAAACCAAACTCGAGAGAAAATCAGATCCGTGTGTATATAAACTAGACAGACGGAAAGAGATTTGTTTTCAAAACGGTTTACTGCACTGCAGTCTATGCCTACTCGATGAGACGGGACGTTTGTATGTACATGGCCCGATTGGGGACCAAATAAATCCCATAAAATTGATGGATCGCGAAATCTAAAACTGTTTAAAATTCTAATTGTCATATTTTACTCGAGAATTCAGTTTGTCACATTTTTTCTCAAATTTATTCACATCCCTTGAGGATCCATGTTTCTCGGAGCGTAAAATAAGTGTCGGAGTTTGTCTGAGGGCAGGTTGGAGGAGGACTTTGTGCACTTTATTGATCTCGCAACCTTTGATCTCTGGTGGGAAGTGAGTGAGCAGGAAAGCATATAATGTCACGCAGTGTGCTCTCTCGCTCTCTCTACGGTCGCTTGATGAGAAGGAGAGAGGAGAGAGGACTGAAGTGGTTCGTGGGAGAAGAACTCCCAGAAATGTTTGCATTTGAAGCTAGTAGACTACATTTTAGTTAAGGACTAATGGAACAGGTAGCGAAACTCGGGATGTGTGTCAACCTTAAGCAACAAGAAAGTTGAGGACGTGGTAAAATAAACTGTTGATTTCATTAACTGGCATTTTATAAGGTGGTCTGACTTTATCCCTGGGGCGGGGGCGATGACTAGAGGATAAGCAGTTTACAGTATGGGTGGAAGAGATTCTGGGATGGTTAGCACAATCATGTACTTCTTTTCCGTAATGATAAGAGTGCAAAACAAAGTAATAATACATAATACGTAACCGTGTCGAAATAAAACTCACCTTGAAAGGTCCCAGTTGTTGGACAGGACAGCTAAGAAAGACGTCTGAACCCATTTGTACTGTCAAGTTGGTTGTCATATTAGAACCAGGATCGAAAAACGGCAAAACTTCGTCTTCTCCATCTTTCGCTGAGTCATCTGAAATTTACAAAGGTAACAAAAGGATTAGAAATGAGGTGACAGGAACGTGCGTCTGTCAAATTGCGACAGATCTGTACCATCTCGGGCTCTCTTTCTTCCCTCCCCTCCCTCCCCTCATACTTTCACCCTTTTGGCAGGACAGACACTTTCCCTTTCAACGCGAGCAGGAAGAGGATAAACGGTGCCAAAATGATGGAAGAAGAAAAGAGTGAGGTCGAAAGTCCGCGCATTTTATGGTGACAACCCACCCGCTACACATTCAATTAAGGGGACAACCTGGTGAAAATGCTTGAAATTTTTGGAACAGCGTAAACTTTCCTTCGAGAAATTTGATATCAGAGATGAGCTCGTTTCAAAGGTATGTATACGCATCGTGTCTGCCTATACCTCAGTTACGCAAGAAAGCGGGTTGAATAAACAGAACAAACAAAAGCAACAGCAGTAACAGCAGAGATGGTCAACGCTGATAGGATAATGCGAATGGGAGCATGACAGACAACATCTCTCGTGGTCGTCGTAGTCTCACAACTCGCTGCTCTTCTGTCTCAAGTGCAAACTCACAAGTCTCCAAAATAAACTTGGGTTTGGCCCTTTTGACATAAGCAAATACAAACAAGTTTCACACAATTTGGTTGCATGATCATGCACAGGTAGGAGGCAGGGCATATAAATACGTACATTTTCTAGCAAAATAACACCAACTAAACAACACACATTTTCTATCCGACTTAAAAACGCTAACCCAACAACAAAGAAATAATTCTGCTCATGGTGAACTCTTTCTTTTAAAGGAATGCGTAAACCCCGCTCTTCAGCAGGTCACCAACCAAACCCTTAAGCCAAAGATTTTTCCTCAAGTAGTCTTAACTCTTCGGCATTGAAACTTGATAGTGGAACGTGTAGCAGTGACAGTGCGGTGGTTTTAGGTTGTAGAAGTGAATGGATACATATATTTGCAATTCCAAGTGCTTCCTTAGTTTCATCCTCCTCCACCCACTTGTCCTCCTGCTACTTTCCAACTGTCTCTCTCAGTTACATCCGAAAAGCCAAAAGGAGTAAGTTGAGAGTTAAACAAGGGCACAACAAAGTTTGGCCTGCAGAGATTTGATAAGAGTTTGAGTAACGTAGCCTAGTGGAGACGTGTAACCGTTCGTCCATTGCTCCTCCTGCTCCCTGCTTCTTCTTCGGTGTAATATCGGGTTTCTTCTTCTTCAGCCTCGGACTTTCACTTTCCCCAACAACCAACTCTTCTTCTCCCCTCTCTTCCCAGATTATAATAATGCCATTCTCATTATAACTCTAACTTATTTTATGGTGATGGCGAAACAGAAAGAGGTAACGCACAGACTTAACTTTCTCCAACCAGAAAAGGCTTTTACTCCGGCTTCCTACTTGCCCCACACCGCCAGCATTAACGACAGAGCAGTTCGGGTAAGAGCACAAGAAATATACACAAGTCCAATTGGAGACAGGAGCAGATATCATTTCTTTATGGGGAGAGAGAGAGCAAGAAGAAAAGATGCATTACGACATGACAGTACACTTTTGCCGTCGCTTAAAGTGGCCTCATTATTTTGAGATGAGACCAACTAAAACCAGCCAACACTGGTTGGCTGGTTCTCTCTGCTTGGGAGAGGAAACTAGCTTAAATCACCCTGAGTAAGGAAAACTGGAGCATTTAAGTCCTCATTTGGTCAACAATTAATAAACGCATGAAAGTTGTGTGTCTTTCTAACCTCATTAATTACTTAGCTACTTTTCGAAGAAAATTATATTGACGAATTTTAATCACAATCTTGCCATCTTTTCATGTTATTGTTTGTCATACATTGAAGTGTGTACACATTGCTCAATATTTTGAGCAACAGGCCTTCTTCCTTGACTGCTTGAACCAGTGGCCTCGATTATTATTTATTTATACCCGTATCAACTTCACACTGAAAACCTCCATTGTGCATGCCGCTTGAAAGTGGGATAAGATCAACAACTCTGTTCCTACAACCACAACCTTCACGATGTGCTCCATCCCATGAGGAGAATTGCAACATTATTATGGTCTGTTTGGGTAAAGGATGGTGGGGATCAGCGGATGTAAATTGAGGCGGCACACATTTGGCATCTTCATCAATGAATCCATTCCACCCAACCGGGCAGATCACACCACGAACCCGACCTAAGCCTGGGGAAAGTTAAGTTAACTCTCTCTCAGCTTCACTCAAAAGCTCAGAAAGAGAAAGAAGTGTACACAACTACCCATTCAACCAACCCATTGAACTTGCTAATGGTTTGTCTGTTGCCTCCGCGAGTTTCTAACAGAATAATAATTTTTTGTGATATTTTCCCCCCTACGAAACCCCTACATTAATTGTACAGTTGTGAGCACCATCCAATTATTTACGGTGTAAATGTGCCCAAAAGTTTACACATTTGAATCGATTATTGTACTCGTCAACCCTATCACTCTGGACGCTCCGTGTAGTCATCCATAATTTTTTAATGAAGGTTGGTGTGCGAGCTCAACGCCTTAAGGGACTCCTCGCCTTGAGTGGTGGTGGATGGATGAGAAGAGCGAGATTTTAATTTCCGCCACACTCATTCGCTCTCTCATCCAATATATCAGCAGGCAGGCAGGGCGAGTAAGGAGTAATGTGGGCCGTGGGGAGAAAGCATTCTTATTTTTTATCCAGGTTTTCTCTCCCGTCAGACACAAATACTGGGTTTTCTTCTTACTGATCAGATCAGATCGTGCTTGTGTATAAGTGAAGAATGAACATAGTTTGTCATCCACCTTGGAGATCTATAGGTGGGGACGATAAAAGGAGGAAATTTCTTTTCAAAATCCAAATAACTTTGTCCATTAAGATTTTGTGAATGCAGTGCGACGCATGTTTGAATTTATTCTGGCTCGTCAGAAATAAAGTTTTTTCCCCTTTTTTAACTGTAATCTAAAAATGAACGAACATTTTTCACTTTTCTGCGCATACTTTATCCAGTTAAATGTAGGGAGCGGGTGATCCGTAATTTCTTTATTTTACTTTATCGTGGTTTAAGATCAAATGTTTGAGAGGGGAATAAAATCTGAGCTCTCGTTTAGTTCCTTCTCCTCCGCGCTCTCCTTTCACGTCCGTAAAGAGATGAGAGGCTGCAACATTTTGAGATTATGGCTTTCGCAATCCTTCAACACTTTCTTTAATTGCAAATTAGGCGGACAATGATTACTTTTGGGTGCTATATCTTTTGCAACCAGTGCAGAAAGTGTGTGTCCCATTTTTCAACAATGTGCAAATAAAGGCAATTTCTCTTCAAAGAGAGAGAGAGAGAGGGGACCGGCGGGGAGAAGAGACTCTGCAATTCGTTCCGGTGCTGTGCCACTATATTCCCTTGAATATTCAATTCAATCGATCCATCTTTTATATCCGACGTGACTTTGAAAATCCGATCCGTCCAGGAGCTGCTACTCCAGTTGGAACGCGAGAAAAAGTAAAAGTCCTCCTGAAAACTTTCTCCTCTTTTGTGTTACCCATCTCAAACTCAAGAATGTAAATCCGTGTGGTACATTATGACAAGAAAGGAGGAAGAGATGTATGCTTGTAGAGGTGACGAGGCCTAGTTTGCATACATCTCACTCACTCCTCACTATACAAGACCCTTAAAAAGTAGGACATGCCATTTCCTCGTCTCTCTACCTGACTCCCATTCACCTACAATTGAATAGTTTTATGAGAATGTTTGTAGAAATAAGAGACGCAATTTTGTCAAATGTAGCCCATTTACTGCTCATAATATTCATAATCTTTGGGTAAAGTTCAGCAGAAAAATATCCAAATGCCAGCAAGTCCATTCGACATGTATCAACTAGTTTGCCCCCGCTTTGTTGTGATTGGTGGAGTCAATTGCTTGATTAAATCAGATCCAGGCGAAGAGAGAGAGAGCAAAAACTTAAACCCTTCTTCGTTCTTAATGTTCTGAATGCAGGATAAAATTTTTCCAACTCCTAAATCATATTAAGATACGAAAAAGAGAGGAAAGCGACGGCAGTTCTGCTCTCATTCATCCTCCGCCAAACAGATCACAACTTTTTTTTAGTGGGGCTGTGCACACACAGTTTGATCCGTATCGCTTAAAAAAATTTGCACTTTCCTTACAACTGATACCGATCAGAGGACATATGGACCAATTTTGTGTCACAATTACTATGCCTGACCCTATACACTACTTACTGCTGACCTAATGTTAGTCTTTCCCACTCGGCATGATGATATGATAGGCACCTCCGTCATTAGGAGATACGATATGTGATAGGAGGATATACAGCAAACTCCATCCAATTCCATCCTCAGAACGCAGTAATGCCGCCGCCGCCGCCGCCACTTTCTTCTTCTTCTCCTGCAGCCCAAGTTTTTGGAGAGTCAAACTGCAGATCCAAGAAGGAGAAGATCTTTGCCATCTAAATGAATCTTCATTCTCCTCGCAGCAACTTACTTACAACCAGTTACACACACTGCGACATTAAGTAACTCTGTTCACAACTATTTCCTTTGCCTAATTCACTCCATAACTTTCTCCAGAACTCAGCCAGTTTTCCTCATATTCAAAAATATTAATGGGTTGCTTCCCTCCCTCCCTGCCTGGCTACGGAGCCTGTTTGTGTTTGCCATGCAGTGGGAGAGTTGTGCTTCTCTCAGTTCACAAAACTAAGTCCTGCACACAAACTCAATTTTCCCAATGCTAACTGACACTAATGTTCTCCTTCTTATGTATGTAAAGTTCAAGATTTCTTTCGACTAGATTTTCCGTTTTGCCAGGAGAAATAATCCGACTTTGTTATACAAGAAATTAAGGAGGAATGTATGTACATAATGGTATAACATGTTCACAAGCAATTTCGCCCCCTCTCATACATGCCTCGACTTATCTCGTGTTTTAAGCATGTGTAACATGAGCTAATATAATAAAAAAGGAGAAGAACCAGACCCAGGAAGCTCTTGCAGTGCTACTTTCTCCATCCACGCAGAAATAAATTGTAATAAGATTGCGAGAAGGCGACTTAACCCTGTGAACTTTTTAATATCCCTTTTTCCTCGCTGGAATAAAACAAATCTGAACGAGAGGTTTCATTTCTTAACTACCGTCCTGCTTAACACGAATAAGGCGTATGTAAGTAAGTAGAACCACCAAATGCGGGGGAAAAACTAAGGTGTAACAAACCACCATACGTTTTCGTCTACCTCAAACTACAGTACTTGGAGTTTTTTAAATGACAATCATCTCTCAGCAGAAAAAATAGAGACACATGTCACTTTTTTATGCTAAAAATGGAGCAGACGTACCTACGTCTTAAAACCAAAGGAACTTGACTCAATTTGGTCTACAATTCCTGATTTTGTCCCCAAAAAACCTGGCAGAGGAATAAACCGTCCTGTACTCGAATCACCAACCAACGAAGCAGCAAATGGAATTTTTATTGAACGTTTTTCTAATCGTAAAATCTGAGAAAGCAACACGGTAGCAGAGTCGTCGAGGAATGGATCAAGTCATAAAGACTGCAACTCAGCCTTCTCCTAACTCACTCAAATGTCGTCTTCTTCTTCCGTTCCCATACTAAAACGGATCTCTGTTTCTCTTCTAAAAGAAAAAAAAACTAAATCTAGGCCAGGCAAGCGGGTAGGCACGACGGTAAGTAAATCCACCAACCAGCTATTTACAGTATGTGACACGACTTTATATAAGTTGGGCTAAAAAAAACTAAAAATGGATGGAGAGATTTCTCTTCAGCAGTTCACTTGATCTTATTCTGTTGGTTGACTTGATCTGTCCACAGGTCTCTCTCCCTCATCCCTCGGACAGTAGAAATCTAGTTGCAGTGATGGAGGTAAGCTAAGTAAGGAGGTAACGGGATGCAATGTGACGTAAAGTTTGGCCACAGCGTAGACCAATGGTACAGATTTCTTCATGAGGGTAAGTCAGTCAGGTCTGTCTACGATTAGTTTAGTTCTCTTTTTTCCGCTCTCACTATAGGTATGAACTGCTGCTAAGACTCTTATGCTGCTCTCTAAGCTAGGAACATATATAACTCGCTGACTGTGTAAAGAAGACAGGAATTGAGCTCTGAGGCATGTCCGCATTTTAAAAGAGGAGCAACGAAGCCACCGTGAAGTTGTGATATATTTCTTTTAAAAAATCACCTACATATCTTTTCCACCATTGACTTGCTGGCTGGAGTTACAAATCCTCACGTGCACGAGAAGCTAGAACTAAATACGATGTACAAGATAGCGTCCAAGATTATGAAAATTTGCGGAAGGGATTTTTTGAAACTTTTGTTAAACTTCTTCTTCTTGAACTTTTTGTCAGCGGTGGTGATGTAGCCTCCCAACGAAGTTTGGTTTTCATTAGATGTTGTACTCTATGCTTCATATCTGTATATTCTGGAATTCTGTATATATTCCTTTAAAAAAGGGAAACGGGGTCGAGTAAAAAGTAAAGCTGACCAGCAACTACTGGACACTTGGACTTGGAAATTGTTTCAATTTCATCTTTCTCCCCTTCAGCTCACAGCGATTTTCGGTCTCCGTGGACCTTAGATCTCGATCATCTCTCTTTCGCTTCCGCCTTTCTCTGCACTTTTTTCCCCTTCTCGCTCTCTGTCCCTATTTCTTCTACTTTTCTCCAGTTTTGCATCAGATTGCACCAATCACTCATGACACAAATCTTGCCTTTTTCACTCCGAGTCATCTTTTTCCGATTAAATAAAGTACCACTACCGTCCAAAAAACCAACCACGTCAAACGCCCTCGACTGCCCCCAACTCTCTCACACTCACCACTCCTTCCACACACCACTCCTTCTGCTACTGCTGTGATTTGTGATATCCCTAAAAACTGGCTGGTGAGAGAAGAAAGTGAAATCTGGGAGAGGGCGGAATGATGGTCCCATTACTCTTCTCCAACTCCATATGTTGTTCTTCGCTATATATGAGTCCTGCCTCCACCAACACTTCTTGATCACCAACATTTTTCACTTTGCCAGAAAAATTATCCTTTCACCATTCTCGTAAGCATTCTCGTACACACCAAATTGTGCCGACAAGTCAAAATCGTCCATATAAAGCAATATTGCTGCTCCCTCTGCTAATTGTATTTTACGGGATTTTCATTCTAATTTTCCCGACGTGATGGACGCTTTCCTAGTTTTCACATTAATTTGGTGCAGAAGGGGTAAACCAGTCGGAGAGAGAGCGAGCGAAGGGCGAGAGAAAGAACAAATTCTCATTTGGACATAACAAATTTCTCCCACTTTTCACCGACCACCAAGAGAAACACTAATTCCTTTCTCATCTCCTACTCTATTTTATTTCGTTGTTGGGGTGCGAATGGAATAGCATCGCTCGCTCCACGAGATCTCTCTGCCAGGAATCCGGTATAAGCAACGGTTCTAGAGGATTACGTCTTGGAGGATTCCTTGCGTGTGTTTCTTGGAAAATCATGAAATTTAAGCGGATAACAGGATTCATGATGAAATTTAAGAAAGGTTCATGATTTCGTCTTTTACAAGTGTTCAAACGTCCTTTTCGGACGGACGAGTGCTTTCCAAATTACTGCGAGATTCGTGTGTTTCCAACCGACAAGTTTCGATTACTTTTGATAGCTTTTGGTTTGGCATGCAGTAGGTACGTACGAACATACGTAGTTACGTAGGCATGCAACAAACCGCCTTCGCCAAGTTTTTTATTAAATTGACGAGTTGATATTTGGATTAGCTTATTATTGCCTCCATTCACACAACATGAGACAGGACGACTAATAGAATTACCAGCAGGAGGTGGACATGAGATTATTATCGTGAAATAACTTGATACTGTTTACTACCTGCCGAAACGAAAGGAAGGCAAACCCATTCATACCCAAACTTCTCCACACTTTCAGTGTTTTTACTTTCCGAGACACCTTGTCCCCTTCCTGACTGTTAGGGAAATATATTCGTGGAAATATATATTCTTATAAAAGCCACAGTTTCAAGGAAATCGTACACCTATGCCTTCCCTAGGAAATTCTAGTTTTCACGTCACCACGTAGGACAGCCAAGCAGGAGACAGAGACATTGAGGAGTGAGTCGAGTTGACGACATGACATGACATGGACACCAAAAGGAGGAAATTGTCGAGTCCGCTCTTCCAAAGCTGCTACCCAACAGCACTCTTGAAAGGTGTTGAAAGCTATATAATTCAAAAACCTATAGGAAAAACCAAGCTGTTGTTCTCCAACTAGCTCGACATCCACACTCGTCTTCCGCTCTATAACTTTCACCCCGTTCTCCTCGGCACAGGTGTGTCGAAAAGCCCATGAAGATTCTTCATCAATGTTGTCAATGCGTGTAAAAAAACAGACCGAGTTAATATGCGACGTGGCCTAAAATTCCTTCTCCATGTATGAACTGTTGCTCACAACTTTCCCCATTTGAAATATGTCAACAGCAAAAATAATAAACCCGTCCATCGCCATCTTCCACGCTTTCTGAGTGACGCAATATTTACCTGTTCCCACTTCCGTTAAACTTTTTTGTTTGTTTTACAACTAGGAAACAAAAGCAAAAAAGAAATGAATTGGACTTTCCAGCGTGATTTCACCTCTGGGTAAAATCTTCCACTTTGCTCCTGTCTTGTCTCCCCAGACTCGAGAGACCTGGCCAAAAACAATCTCAGCTTTCTCCTCACCGTTCCACCCAGGAAGAAGAAGGCGAAAACTATTTTATTTTCTGGAGTGGGGAAAAAATACTTGAACTCGTTATGAGATATGGAATTGATACTCCCATCGGGCCGCTTGGAAGGATTGGTTTGAGAGGAGTCAAGTGGTGGAGGGGAAATGAGTCCAGGGAAAAATTACAAGTGACCGCGATTGCTGCCACAACGACCATGAATTTTTGAACATATTTCCAAAAAAAGTCAGAGCTAGCTGTTGTTGGTGATTTTATATCGTGGGGTCAGGGTGACGCTGATTGCTTTCGTCCTCTGACTTTTGACCATGTTTCGTTACTTCGCCTACTTTTTCTCTCTTTTTACTTCTTTATTTCTCAAGTTGGGCCATTGGTTTTATGTCTTTTTTTGTGTTTCATCTTGAACTTGGATGTGATTTACATTACATTTACGACTATACGGATAAGGCTAGTGGACACATTACTGTCGAAGTCTCAATGTAAACTATTGACTGGAGGTGACTTGACTTACCCAAGTGGACGAGAGGGCAGAGGAGAAGGATCCAGAAAAAGTGGGACAATTTGAGATGCCACGATACAACAAACAAACTTTTCATTGTGATGTTGATTGGGTTACAATTGTGTTCACGGTATAATTTCACTCCTACTTTAGAGATCCTATTATTAATCAAATATTGTAATCACTTGCAGCTAAACTACTAATATGTAGCGTATGCTTAATTATAATAACATTTCGTATCCTAATCTTGACTTAATTTCTTTAAAGTCTTCCTGCTTAACATTGTTTTTAACAAAAATGTCACTCATTCAACGTGTAAATGAAGGTAAAGAATAGTTTCCACTGACACAAATGGTCAATTTTTTCTTCCCTGCCCCCAAGCTTGGAGTGATACAAGAACAGGGATAAATCTCACCTCACTACTCACTCGAGTCGTGGCTGGTGCAATTTGAGGAGGACGAAGGAGACAAGCAGTTGTTGGTTTGACACTGGAGACCATTCTCCTCTTTTTGCTCCAGTTATTCAGCACACTTTCCGAGAGGAACTGAGAGAGAGAAAGTTCGGGGTTGAGAACATACACGGCTTTCTTCCAGCAAAGAGAAAAGGGAGCGCCGTCGCGTTTTTGGATTGAAAATGCTCCCCAATATCCAAGTTAGATAGGTAGCTCTGGCTAAGTATCAAGCATGGCATGGCATCAAGTTGTTCTTTTCTCCACACAATTTATTTCCGGTTTAGAAATCAGTGCTCATTTTACAGTCGTCTTCAGTTATATATTAAATTACAATAAGTGGTCACGTAACTGGACATGTCTTTTAGCGAATTCTCTCAATCAGCCATGAATTGGATGGATGTTCAGCAGCAGCAGTCAGCGTGATGATCATTTCTTATTCAATCCAAGAAAGAAAAAAAGCACTTGAGGATTTCACTCAACTTGAAACTCACCCCAACGTTTTTACAAGTGCTTATACGACTCTGGTATAAAAAAAGTCGGTAATGGAAGTGGTTTGATTATATGTATGTTAAGCGATTCGGGGGAAAGTATTATAACATCCCATCTTCTTTTCAGCCATTTCCTCCTTCGACGACTCGAGGAACCAGCCACGTACGCGTCCGTTCATCTTCTTCATCGTCCCCATTTTGATAAGATGTCACATTTGCGGGTAAATGATCAATTTACTCTTTTCCCGCCGTGGCTTTGTGGGTCGGGCGGAAAGGGTGAGAGAGAGAGAAATCCAAATTTGAGGCAAGTATCATTTCCGCAAATCAACTTTCCCACAGATAAGTCGTGGCTGTATGAAGCACTAGTCTGCAAGTAACTGCTTGCAATTCCCGACTAATTGTAATTAAGTACGAAAGGCGGCGGAGGAGAAAAGTACGTAACCTTGATGATCGGGAGGACCCAGATGTAGGATGCTTCTAATCTCTCCACTTTGCTCAAGGGGTTCGAAAGGGCGGTGGGAAGAAGTCTGCACATAATGTTGTAACTTGGCTTACTTTCCGCCTCGTCTTTACTATTATACCATGCACTCATTAATCCCGTTTCTCTGCAGATTATATTTTGCACAACTTTGTCCACTGGTTGGTTGGTTGGGGGTGCTCTCATGCTCGCATAATTCTATTGCTGCTCAGATTTCAAAATCCTGCGAAAATGTAATCTTGACAAGTTTTAATATTTATTTTCTTTGTGTCATCCAAGGCAATGCATGTAGTGGGACCAGGAGCAGCACCAGCAGCAGCAGGACGGCGACAATCAGAGTAGCAAAAAACATGTAGACTTCACTTTCACCAGTTTCAACTTTTCTCCTTATTCTTGTTCCGTACACAAAAAAGTGAACTCAACAACAGGGAAGATAAGTGTATTGCCTCAGTGAGTGGGAATAGTTGGCTGGTGTTGGTTGGATGCCGACCTGAAACCACAAGCCACCACAAACGCTAAACTGTGCATTAAGCAATCGAGAAATGGACTTTCACTGATCTCTTTTCCTCTGTCTTGCACAAAAACCGATAAATCTCTCCGCGCTTGTGGGCTTACTCACAATCAATTTTGAGCATAAGTGCTGCTTCTCCTTCTCTGTTGAACGGATTACACCGGCTCACATCTTCATTATTGGGCGAGCAGAGAGAAAGTGTCTTTTTCTTATTTCAACTCCGTGTCCTTTTCCCTGCTAAACACACTCCACTTCCAAGGACAATATGGGATTAAGGCTCCTTCCTTCCAGCCCGTCCATACCGCTCCAAGTGGGACGCATGTTATTTTTAAATTTTTTGGATCACTTAACCAACCCGCATTTCATCTTCTTCTCCTCATCCTTATCCGACCCAGAGTTGACCGGGAGGCGAATGGATAGAGTTGTATCATCACCATCCCATTCCCACCACCGTCAGACTCTCGCCATCGACATATATCTCTGATGTCATTTTTATTTTGTTTGACTTTGGATGTATAAATAACTCCTTATTTATTTAGGTGAGTTGTCTGGACAGAGTGTGGAGTGAGGAAGGAGGGCCGAAAGCAGAGGTTCCGTTCTGGAGGGAGAAAGCGAGAGAGAGGAAATGCAATAAATATCAGGAGCCATTCCCACATTCCGACTCTACTTTCTCCCAACTCCACTTGCACCGATGGAGCAAATGCACCGCCTCTGCCGTCCCTATTACTCGACCGCCACTGCATCGCATTATTCCTTCATTTTCATTGAATGGCTGTAAACTAAGGAAAGTAAGTGGGACCAGAATTGAGCTCACAAATAAATGAGAAACAAAGCAGAATTTTTGGACAAATGCCACACCATCGTTCTCCTCTCACTTTTCAAGTCTATTCTCATCCCACCAGTCTCACATATTTTGTTGCTTGCTTGCTCCAACTTATTTTATTTTACTTTATGCCGGCAAAGTATTAGTCGAGTGGGGGCTGAGGAGTGAGGAGTTTAGACTTTGGGCGAAGAAGAAGGCAGGAAAGACAAGTGGAGGAGAGGAGAAAGTGAAGTGTGTTCCCTTCGAAATTCCAGCTTTGACTCCTTGTTCCTGATATTAGTTGATAGTGATGGCATGATGGTTGGCTTGACTTTGGATTTGGCTTTGGAATCCGCTGCTGCTCCTCCTGCTGCTGCTTCTGCTGGGATGTGATCGAGTGTCAACTCGACATGCACTCAACTACTTGGGCTGTGATCAATCATACATTATTTCCATTCCCAGCCACTTCATGATTTTAGTCGGATAAGCAGCATTTGGAGTTTGGGGATCAAACAAAGTTCAAGTTTTGAAAACTGCGGGCGAGAAATGTTCGCGATTTGAATTTTCAAAGGCCTCAATTTCGCAACTGGTGTTAGATTTATAATTGGGTCTTCCACTCGAGCCATTTTTACGTTCCGTTTCTTTTCCGCACCATCCCATCGTATAATCTGTAACAATATCATCATAATCTGGTAGTCAGGGATAAGCCCTATTCAAAAAAATCACGATTTCCTATTTCCCATCGTCCTCCCTTTCTTTCCAAACCATCCAATCCACCTTCTTTTTTTCTCTCTCGGGTTGAACCCTCGTAAGCTCGACTCTCTCCTCCACTTTTTATTCCATTCTTGGGCAAATTTAAAACGACAAGATGTCCCACACTTGCATCCAAATGGTGTGCATTTAAATACATTACAAGTTTTTCAATAACATTTCCTTCCGCCTCCTCCTCGAGAAGTGGGAGGAAATCATGTGTTGTACTACTTTGTTGGTTTGATGGGTTGCTGTATGTAGCTGTTACCTTCAAATAAATTGAATTCAAATGGTAAAGTTTTCTTTTGCAAATTGCTTTCAGAAATTTGCAGCCTGTAAATCAAATATAAATGTTTACATACATGTTTCCACTGCTCGAGATGTGGTCATAAAATGCATCCGGTAGGGATTGTTTCTCTCTCTCTGCAGTTTTCATGCAACTCTGGCCACATACTTACGTCCATACGTATCACATACTCGACGAGGAGCCTTTCGCTCTCTGAAAAAGCGGACCTGTGCGCGAGACACTTGATATATCCCAAACTCTTTAGTTTATTGCATTTTGGAATTGACGAATGGCCAATTCCAAATATTCCAATTTTATTGAGGGGAAAGAAAGGACGAATCTTGACTGAAATAAGTGATGCATAAACTGGGGATTTATTTTTGTTCCCTTCTTTCTTGACCTTTCAACCAGCAACTGAACTCCTTCGTGTTCACAGTCATTCATCTTTCGCTTCATGTAGAACATCCTATCTGCTCAAATAAACTTTCTCCATTCAAATTTTGCATGGCGCATCTGGTTTGCAGAAAGATCGTTGTACGTGCGTGTCAACCTTCCATTTATTTTGCAAAGTTGCCATTCCATGGAGCAAGATAATGCAGAGGGGTCGATGCCTAATGGAAAATGCAGTGTCAGCATGTGATGGATGTATTTCATGGAAGAGTAATAAATACAAGGAGAAAGTTGGGGTAGTTTCGTTCGAGATGCTCTTCGTTTATCTCGAGGAGGAAAAAAATGATACTGTGTGTGTGTGCTAAAATGGCATGATGACCTATTTGCAGAAGAACAACAAGCAAAACAACAATTTTCTTGATTCTGAAAAACAAAGTTTTATGATTTATAAAATAAAGCCTTGCTAATTCTCCTCCCGTTTCTCATGTAATCTATTATATTTTGACATTTGATGGGATCCTTACTCGTGATGATGTCATGCATTGTACTCGTTACTTGTAAAATCTAAGTAAATAAAAAGTTACTTGATTTTTATAAAAGAGGACGACAAGCAAGTCCCGGTTCTCGTTAAAAATGTTGACCTAGCGCAACGTCTCATTTCCAACTTGATAATAAATTGATAACTCAAACAAGCATTTCGTCATATTGTTCGTAAAATCGGGTATTTGTCTTTGTCAACTATTTTTTCCACGGTGTTTCATTGCTAATCAGAATCAAAGGAGGTTAACAAAGATAAAGTTTTGTCTGCATGAATTCACATTATTCGCTTTTAATACGCTAAATAAATTTAGATTATTTTTACACCTTTTTGTATTTTTTAAAAATAAAACTATTATTGATCCCTCGTTTCCATTTTTTTACAGGAAATGCCTAGCATTCTTCCTCTTCGTTATTTGTTTAACGGATTTAATTTCACACGACTGATTTTCCCTTCGTAAAAAAATTCTCATCTCATCATCAGTTGTCATCATCGCATTACAACAACAAAACAACTCATTCACTTCTTACAGTCAGACAAGCAGCGAGGACAGGAGGAAGCCAAGAATGGAAAAGAAAAGATGAGACAGGGTTGAGCAGCAAACAAAAGCATTAATTTTCTCTGGCAGCATCGAGGCATCGCTAAATATATGTATGCTTTCTCCTCCTTTTGTAATCTGACTTCAAACATGAAATCTGATTTCAACAGAGTCTCATCACATAAACCTAGACGTTTAATAGTACAATTAAATTGAATGAAGTAGACAAATAATGATGAAATATGGGGACACATTCGAATCACAAAGGAAATGAATACCAAGTAGGTATGGTTTAATTGTCTTATTTTATTGTGTACCTA